GAACCTATTGCAATAAAACGGCAATTTCATACTTTAACCCCTAATATATACTAGTATAGTATTGTATTATCTGTGATATGAGCAAGGCCTATGACAGGGTTCTATATCCAATTTTGCTGAAAAAGCTATATGACATAGGCGTCAGGAGTGCAGCTCATAATTGGTTTGCGTCTTATTTACAGCATCGCATCCAATTTGTCGACTTAGAATTCTACGACCACCGCACGGGATTTATTAGGGGTGTCAGGTCTGACAAAGTAATTTTAAATCGTTCTATCTCCCAAGGTAGCGTCCTGGGATGTTTGTTATTTTTAATTTATATCAATGACTTGCCTAATCAATTTATTATTCCTTGCATTCTCTTCGCCGATGACATTTCGATGATTCTGCCTTGCTCCATTATTACACAACTTCACGAACTTTTGAATTTAAATTTGAAATTAATGACAAGCTGGCGTAATGACCATAATTTAGAAGTTAATTTCAACAAAACTAAATTAATGCAGTTTAGGCTGATAAATAGCGTAAAAATGTTTAAAAATCAACTTAGTAAACATCTGTTTCAAAAATGCTACTATTCATTGCAAGATTTTTTTTAATGACAAGGAAAATTGTTCATAACGTCATAAAAAAGGAATTTTGATATGTTAACTAGATTTATAAAAAATATTATGATAAATAATATGAATATAATATATATAGTAATTTAATAAAATGACAAATGTTATGACTATTATTATATAATTCTAGAATAATTTGACGATTAATTTTTTTGAAATACTTTGGACTTCAATTTGACATTCATTTTCCAATTAATTCATTGACTTTTCAGAAAAGATTTGTTTAGATTTAATTATCATTATAATGATATTTTAATTAATGGTAATCGAAATGTGTATTTAAAAAATTGACATTGCTACGCCCTTACAGGGTATATATATATGTTTGATACTGTAAACTACTATAAGAACTATTATGTAACAACATGTTTTGCAATAAACGTTATTATTATTATTATTCACAATACTTTCATAGGCTAAATGACAAGGCAAAGCCATTAATATTATAAAAAAATCCTTCAGTCGAAATAATCTTATGTCGTATTCTAGAACACCACTCAGAGTCGTATTCCAGAACTCTACTTAATGCTCAAGTCAGGACTTGAGCAGACTTGAGTATGATTTCAAGCACTGGAAATACGACCCTAATGGCTTTAAACAAATTTAAAAAAAATCATGAAAGGAAAACATTTTAATGAAGAATAGGCTGAATGGCTTTACGCCAAAGCCATTAAAAAAGTTGTCAAACTCGGCAAAGCTTACTTTGCGCCACAAATCACAATTTATAGATATCTTTGCGCAAGCGCAACGGTCAAAATTCGCTCTGCACCTTTTGGAGGGAAAAGCGTCGTTTTTATTTTGACCTTCAATTATTTTGTGAATTCTAGTTTAAAGTGGAATAGGATAGTGCTATTGTGCCTTAATCGAAGATTAAAACGCGAAATTATACGAATCTCGAACTAAAATACACTTATCGGCCCGTTTTAAGAAACCCCGAGTCAATCCAAGCACGCCGCCTCAAATTGCCTATCCTCTTTGTGGCGGCCATATTTACAGAAACATAATTAAACGTTTAGAATAATGGCTTTGCCAAAGCCTTAATAACTTAAAAAAAAAAAGCAACGGTCAACGTCACAATTAATTACCAATGTAATCTAATTTAGTGTGAGAACAGCTAAAAAAACCGCAGTAAATTTAATTAATTTACCTATCAATTTAGAGAGCTCTACCGTGGCTCTACCTGTGATAGTTGAAAGCAACAATTTGTAATTATCTATGGCTACAGCAAGATTTAAAGTAGAGTCAGGGTTACAGTTACTGGCCAGATTAAGGAAAAAAACAGACAATGAAAACTTTTACCCAGTCTTGTTTGAAAGTGGATTGAAAACCGGTGAAGTGGTAGAATTTTACAGTGACGAGAGCATGTCCTGTCTTCTGGCAGATATAATTTCAGAAGCACTTATTCCTAAGAGCCTCGATGGCGTAGAATTGGGCGTCCTTTTAATAAACACGGATGGAAACTTAAATTTTGATGTAATAGGGAATGTACTTAAAAAGAAGTTACTAATGTTAGCTGTACAATGTCAAGATGTTGATAGTTTATTACATGAAGTTTTACAGAAGTTCCACATATTAGAAGTTTATGATTCCACACAATTCTACACAACAATACACAATTTGGAAAGTGTCCTGACACAAAATCAATACATTTCATTAGTTATAATAGATACACTTACTGCATTTTACTGGTCAGAACAGGGATTCAAAATAACAAAGATGGATGTTTATTTAAAAAGTTTACTTAATATTGTTCAAAAGATCACAACAGAGTTTAATATAAAAATTATATATACAAGACCTGACTATTTTAGTTCAAGTAAAGATTGTATTGAAAACCTTGAAGCTTGTTCTAATCACCCTAAAATAGAATGTCTTAATTATCGCATGCAAGTGCTCAGAGACAATGGCACTTATCAAGTTAGTGTGCGCACATCTGACAAAATATATAGTAAGTTCTTTAGTATTTTAGATGACACAATAAAATGGTTGTAATACAGTATTATGATTTTTTTATGAAAACTAACATGGTTATCACACATTATAGTAACTGGACTTACTCACATAGTATTTTAGTCTGAAGCGGTCCGACTAGTTTCAACCATACTTGATGGTCTTCATCAGGGGTTGAGTGCAATGTTCGAGTAAGTCCCATTGCTTTTATACTATATTATGATTTTAAAATGTTTCAATGAATATTTCTTACAATTTTAGTTTGCTTACTATAGCTATAAGACAAGTTTTATTTAGTATATAATCATTTAATCCTGTTATTAAAGCATTTGTTTATAATTATTTCCACAAACCTTTGCTCAAAATCTGCCAATCTTACCACCTCATGTGCATCAGAACTTCTCAGAAATTTTTAAAAATGTGCATGAAACTTTGTAAATACTTGGAAGAAATCACTACTCAATAGTCTTATTATTGAAAAAAAAGATTCTAAAATTACCTAAAGATGTAATAATACTGAGAGAGAGCTATATAGAATTACAACTATGTATATCAAAGACTTAAAACTTATTGAACTAAGTATAAATTGGAATCAGAATTACAAAAAAAATGTCCAAAAATAGTCCAGATGTCTATCACATCATTAAATATACTACATACATAAATGCGGCAAAACAATGACTAAAGTAGTTAAGGTTTTCCCATTTGCTTATAGTGTGGTAATATGAGTAACCAGTTTCCTGAAGAGAGAATGATGCTGCAAACATGACTCCTAAATAAGCAAGGTGTATAATGGTTATAAGGGAAAATAAAGTGTTTATAAAAACTGCCAAAAATGTGTTTTTCTTGTACTTGTGATCGCATTGCTTCACACATGGATTTGCTAAACAGCAGACTTCCAGAGCTGCAGCAACTTTGTGCCGAAAATTGTACTCAATATAAGAAAATGTGCCTATGCTCAGGAGCACAGCCGAAAATTGGAAATTCAAGCCATGCAATAAAGATGACACAGCATAAGTAACAAAGATAGCCAAAAGATGACCATAAGATTGGCAAGTTTTAAATACATAATTTTTCAGCCATTGATGCATTGGTATATTCCAGAAAATGACTGCTTGAACTAGTGACCTGGGCAGTTCTATAAAGAATGGTTTTGTTACTTGAAGTTCAGAGTGACAGTCATTGGTCAGTCCAAATCCAGCACTGATCATTGACACTATTGACATGCTGGATACAAAGTAGTGTGACATCCTAAATGCCTGAGCGTCCCTATATGCTACTATCCACTTTGGTGCCTCATCATCAATGTACCAAGGTACAATGCAATTTGACAACACTAAAAACAACATTGACAAACAAAGATGCACAAATATAATTGTAAACCATCTCCTGCATAAGAATTTTACATCGAGGTATTGATTATAAGTATGAAATGATATCCATGGGCCTAAGATGCAATTGGCAGGACAAAGGACATATCCTCCAAATTCTACTGGATTCAACATGCTTTTAAAAAGATCTCTGTCTAGTTCTATAGCAACAGATATTACTTTCATAGCTGCTATCATTTGTACACCTCTTATTTGTTGCCACATTTTTGGATTTACAATATAAACCTCACATGATAGGAGAAAAGAGATAACCAATATGGATGTAAGGCATCCTCTCCATCTTGTAGTTATAAGAGACAGTAAGACTATTAGAATGTAAGCAATAGCTGCTAGTCCAATCGTCCAGATGATTGCCGGCCCGATGTTGTGGTATAGGAGGAAGCTGCCAATCACCAAAGAAAGACTGTGACGAACGTTGTGCGGCAAACTGACATATTGTATGATAAGGCGAAAAGCGACATTCGCAATTATTAGGTCCTTTGCAAATCTAAGCCCTTCGTATAACGTTGGTTTACCACACAATGCGATATAAGTCCATGTCTCTTCGATGTATTCATCTTCTTCATCCATTTCTGTACTTCATTGCATTACAATACCAAGCAATATATTCTGGAGAAGCACAAACAACCTCAAATTGATTTAGTGTTCGATTTAAAGTATTCTTAGAAAACAAATAAAATAAAAGCCGGCAACTCTTGATTTAACTCATTTGACTAGACTTGGGTTGGACTTAACTCATGACAATGACATGACCACGACATGACATTCATTGGCTTGGCCATGGCCACAGACCACAGAGTACTTATCTGGAAATGGAAAGTGCAATAGCGTCGCCTTATTTTCTCAAACTCGAATCATAAAGCACAAACTTACTGAAATCTGAAATACAAAAAAATGGACTGTATATACAAATTTTGCAGGCTGATTTTACATCACATTTCCTTCATATTCACACACTGGCTTTTACCTATTCTTAAACTAATGCATCCAAATGAACATCCTTGATAAGAAATTTAAAATGAATAGAAAGTTTTACCATCTCCTGAACAGTCTTTATAGGATACGAGTTTGAGAAAGTAAGGCATCGATAGTTCAATTCACAATGCACAAATTCTGGCAATAAATTGCCGCAATTTATAAAATTTTTCAAAACCCACCCAATTTTTAAAACTGGGAAATAAAGGCAATTGCCTTGTCATCATTTTTGCGAAAATTAAAAATCGTTGTTGGAGCATTTTATTATAACCCGCGCCACCCGTCCTAAAACGGCCTATTCATTACCTGCACAAAATTATCTTCATGGCAGTCCGCCGCCGCCGCCGCGCCGCGCCGCCGCCGCCGCACAGGCAGAAGTATAGGAGTGCTCGATGTAAAAAAAAAATATCGATATTATACCCTCTATATATCGAATCAGTTCGATATTATCCTATCATTCAATATCGATATGTACTATCGATTTATTTTATCCGATACATGAAAAATCGTACAAATTTGAAAGTACGCAATTCAAAATTGTACTTGCAGCAACGAAATGCACTTCAATCGCTGATTCGCCGGTTAGCCTTCAATGTAACGTAGTGGTTATATTCTCATTGGCTAGCCGCTTATACACACAATAATATTGCTTGTGTGCGGACGATATTGTTGTGTTTAGACACACATAGATTGTCATAATATTATATGGTGCGGTTAGCCGTTGATCAGAGCTGTCGGAAATAAAATGGCAGCCTTTGCTGGCTTTCGTAAAGAAATTTTTCTTTCTTTGTGTATCATTTGTTTTGTTTAAAGAATTTCTTATGTGTAGGCAAATTAAATATATTTTGACTGACAAGAGGCGCCAAAAGGCAAAAGGCAAAGCGGCAATGTTGCCGTTTTAGCGGCTTGTCGCTAGAACTCTTATTAGTTTGTGTCGCTAGATCTAATGAATTTTAAGAATGTTGACGTTACGTTTACATGGAACCTGAAACGTCAGCTCGTTTAAAAAAAGAAACAAAGTTCCAAAACAAATATGCGAATTAGATTACTAAATCGCATTTATTATGAAAGTAACTGAAGAAATACTTGAATATTGTGCCAAAACTGGTGGTTTTACTTATTTACTCTTAGTAAAATTTCCTTCCTTTTATCTTTTAGAATGATTCACGATATGTCGAATACTGCAATGACTTTACAGTTTAAATTAAACGTTTTAGATTTTTTAATATTGTCACTATCAATGCCAATGTCACTAAGTTTGTAGATGTTAACGATTTGCTCTGGACCTTTTGGAGGGAAGTGTCGTTTTTATTTTGACTTTCAATTATTTTGTGAAATCTAGTTTAAAGTGGAATAGGATAGTGCTATTGTGCCTTAATCGAAGATTAAAACGCGAAATTATTCGAATCTCGAACTTAAATACCCATATCGGCCCGTTTTAAGGAATCCCGAGTCAATCCAATCCAAGCACGCCGCCTCAATTTGCCTATCCTCTTTGTGGCGGCCATATTTACAGAAACATAATTAAACTTCATGTCCAAAAAAGAATAATGTACTAAGACTTGGCTGTATGGTGTAAAACCTTTGCCTTTTCCTTTATGGAAAGAAGAAAAAAAAAGTAGATGTTAACATGTTAACTCCGGCCATGCTTGTCATTGGCTCCAACGCTGACCGCGAAAAGCCATAAACTCAAAAAAAAAAAACTCCGGACATTTTTTCGCGGTTTTTGGATTAGACTTTGGATTGTAGATTTAGATTTAGATTTATTTATTATCTTGCAAACTTTACATTATTATATACAATATTAGAATAATAACGCATAGAATCATTGACTTATGCATAGAATGATAGTTTCATATCAAACGAACTGTCACAAGTGAGGCAAAAATCAAATTCATATAGGCTAGTTTTAGTAGTAGGTTAATTTTCGGTTTTACTTTACTGAATATTTATATAAAAATACAAGTTGAAACGCGTTACTTCCTTGTGGAATGTGATATTAGTATCTATTTTATGTTTATCTGACGTATTTTTACACTCATTTACCACACATTTCGTCATTTTTAGCTAAAATTCTTGATCTGTTCGCGGTGCAAGTTGACCTTGAAAGGCCCGCCTGCTCGTGTAGGCCCTTTGGGCGCGCTTCAATTTGCTTCACTTAGCCTGTGCGGACTAGGTTTCTATGCGTTATTATTCTAAGTATACAATATTATATTACAAGAATCGTTACAAATAGTAATAAATGTTACATTTCAAAAAAATACAAATATCCAGTACAAGTTTTGTACTACGTAATTTTAACATAGTCAATATAGTTATGTGAAATAATGTAGGAATATATTAAATAATATAATAATAATTACGTCAATATAATGATTGTATGCATAAAGTTTATGTAATTTATTCATGTCTGTAAAATAATATTTATACCTAATAATCTATAAATTACAACATATTACAAGACCATGTCCCTATATTCTTCAGTGGAATAATACGCATTATCCAACAAAAAGTCTTTCAGTCGACGCGACGATCAAATGTTTCATCATTAGGCTCATTTTTTAAGTCAAAGGGTAGGTGCTCATAATAAGCCGGGCCTATTTCGCGCGGATTTTTTTCACTGAGTGCTAACCGTCGCGGTACCACCTTCAGTCGTCCTGTGGAGCGGGTGTTATAACGGCTTTCATGCCTTTCAAAGTTGTGTAAGTTTTTTCGTATGAATGTGATTATTCCATATAAATACAACGAATACATGGTCATTATCCTGTGTCTCACAAATAAGTCCTTACCAGAGACTCTTCGTGTTACTCCGGCAAGTATCCTCATTGCTCGTTTCTGAATAATGAATACCCTGTCAGAATCAGTGGAGTCACCCCATAGAATGGTACCATACAACATTATGGAGTGGAAATATGCAAAATATGTTTGTCGTAGTATGGAATCTGTAACGACAGGTTTTAATTTTTTTAGTGCATGAGTCGCACTACTTAGTCTATCACACATAGAATTTATATGACGCTTCCACGTTAAATTTTCATCCAGAATGAATCTTAAGAAATTGCTGTGGTCAGTTATGGGCTTTGGACTATCCAAACACGTTGGCCTCGGGATTGATCTACCAGAGAACAATATTAAACTAGATTTAGCAGCATTCAGTATGAGACGATTGTAAGTGAACCATTTGATCAGACTCATATAGACATTTCCTACTTTTATATTGAGTTCGTCGTAAGTTCGGGCGCACACAATTACAGTGGTATCATCAGCGAACAAAACCAATAAGCCATCAGTGCTATAGCACGGTAGGTCAGTAATAAATCTCAGGAAGAGGATATTTCCCAGTGAAGATCCTTGAGTAATTCCAAGGTTCACGTCACCCCCACTACTGCGTAGTTTTTTCCCCACCTGATATTACTTCAACTGTCTGAATTCGGCGTGATAAAAATGATTTCAAAAGATCGTATGTTTTGCTTCGCATACCATAGTGACATAGTTTCTCCAAGAGTAATTCGTATATATTGTCTAGTCTTTATATTGTCATCCATTTATTGGTAAGTCAATGGGCAATCTCCTCTGGCAAATACAAGTAAAACAATACCGCTGTTACACTACACACAAAATTAGAAAAAGAAATTCACTACATCCAGACAAGGGTAGAAATTTTTTTTCGTATACATAATTAACCATTACGTAATACATATCGACACCGTCAAATCGATAACTTCCGTCTCTAGTATATTCATGAGAATCGATTTATTTTTATAGGCCTATTCTGTGTACGGACATGACATGAATGCAATGTGTGTTTTATCCTTAGAGGGTGGAAAAAAATAAAAGAAGTTTTATCTGCGTATATTTGTAAAAATAAGCTAATGTTGTAGACTTGTGTTTGTTGAGACCGTAGTGACTCCATCCTCTAAGGTAGTGACACAATTCAATTTTGCATTTGAGTGCACCTGTTTTTTTTTCTGTTTTATTACACGCTTACCGCGAAAAGCCAAGATAAATAACTCTCTTTACTTTGAGATAGGGATGCACGATTTTTGCTTTGAATAGATTTTTTTTTATCTGTGGATCCTATGCTTCGGAATCGATCCACAGATCGGATCTTATGCTCTTTAATCGATCTCATAAGAATCGTTTTAAAATTAATTTTGATAAAAAATAATAAATTTGATTCAGCATTTTCGGTCTCAGGGTCGTATTCCAGAACCCTACTCAATGCCCAAGTCAGGATTTGAGTATGGTTTAAAGCACTAGAAAACATACTCAAATCCCTGTCATTAGGGTTGAAATAAACTAATATTAACATAATCCAAGCATTTATATTATTTGCAGAAGACATTTTTCAGTGTCAATTTTAACCATAGATCTACCAACCATAGTGTATATATATATATAACATTCGTCCATCCCTACAATTTACAACATCTCCTCGATAAGCCGCCGAGGTCGCCTGATGGTGCGCTCATGGCGCTTTGATGCTCGCTGTAGGGACGCCGTGGTAGGTGGCGAATGCGTAGTAGCAGCGCATGGCCGCATTGGGGTGGCAGCTGAGTTCTGCGTTCCTGACGAACTTGCAAGGGGTTCCACCTCACTGGTGTTTATATGATGCGGGTCGTGTGTGGCCTGAGAGCCATCAGTAGAAACTGGACTGATATGGTCGGCTAAGCGGGAACGCACTTGATCAGCATGATATCTCCTTTCTACCCCATTGGCTGTGTCTACGGTGTACGAGTATCTATGCGTACGTCTGGA